GAATAAGAATGCTTCAAATGTGAATTTAATAAGGAAGAAATAAAATAGTGAGTTTATTATTGAGTAATCTATTGACTTTGGAACTATTAACATATTTGGATATATGACTGATGATGGTCAGTATTTGATTACTTGGGATACTAAATCATACGAATATCAGATAAGGAAATATTAGGAATTATGAATTATTAAATAATATAAACATTATAGATTAATAAATTTCTAATTATTTTATTGCATAAATTCATTGAAGAAATTATAAATACAAATATTCCTATTAAATATTTTAAATCTTAACAAACTAAATGAATTGAAAATAAAAGATTCTTAAAAAAGATTTACTTTTAACAATAATCATATAGATACTTCAAAGCTGATAATTGAAATGGAATAACTTTATTTTAAATTTCAAAGATCATAATTAGAATTTACTGTTACATGAAATATTGAATAAACTGTTCATGTTATTATTTTATTTATGAATTTTTTTATAAGAAGAAAATATTATAATCTTTTCTAAATCAATATATCAAATATAATTTTTTGATGAGTTTAAATATGTAAAATATCTTTAGCAAGTATAAAGAGATCAATAATTATATTTAAATCGTTAAAGTACTCTTATAAGAAATAGATTATTTAAGCCGAAATCCATAATTAGGATAGCACAAAATAATGTTTGATCATAAAATAGATCGAAAGCTAAATTTAATTATTTAATTCTTATAATCAAAAGTTACTTATGTAAATTCTTTATACATAAAATTATAAGCCTACTAAAGGTAATTTGCCTATCCTTTAGCAAGAGGCTTCTTCAATTTATTTTTCATTTATTCTTTTATTAAAGTCTTGCAATAATCTTTTTTTATAAACATGAATATTTAGATTAAAAGTTTTTCGACTATTACTTAATCCCTCCTTAACTAACCTCTTTATTGAAGAGTTATTTTGATTTTGCTTAAAACTTAATTATAAAACTTCTTATAGAATGCTTTATTTATACCATTTAGTAGTTCCAAGTTTTTCCATAATTAAAAAAAAGGAGATGTAATGTAATAATAAATTAAATTCTTTATTTAAAGAATAAATCTTATAGATTGATTTACTAAATTAAGTTTCACTCCTTATAAATTACAGCAATATTATATATTTAAATAATATTTATAGAATTACTTAATTAAATCCAAATAAGTTGATCTTAAATGCTCTCAATTTTTTTATTAACTTCACAACTCTGGTTGAAAGTAATAAGATATCTTTATATTCAAAATATTAACACTTATTTGAATAATTATATCATGTCTTAAATCTAAAAATTAATTAGAAAAGTTAATAAAATCGAAATGTTTTTATATGTTAATTTCTTCAAAAAAAGATGATGTCATTTTGAAGATTTAACTGATCGAAACTCATAATCAATAAAATAAATCTATCAATAATGAATGTTGACACTATTATATTTCAAAGTATCTAAAAACCATAAATTACTGCAATTCAAAGCTGAAATCTTCGCTTCTAAGTTTTAGCTCTTTGAAATCAAGTATCAGAATTAAAAAATGCTACTCCCTAAAGATAATTTTATGGAAGAATAAATAAAGAGACCTACCTTAAATAAAAGAATCATAAATTGCAAAATAGATCCAAGGATTTATTCTTTGGAACTATATCATCAAATTAGATGGATGAAAAGAAATGTGATAATAGAATTATATATCAGACCATAGTTCCTTATTGGTAGTTTAACTAAATTAGACATTGAATTTGAATGTACAGCAATATTTCTTAAAAGATTTTCCATAATTAATTAGAACACTAAATATAATAAAGTAATATCTGAATAATTTCAAGAAATATATAGAGTTAAATGAAACAGAATATGATGATGTTGATATGATTAATAAAAAAGCTTTTTAAACAAGTTAGAAATAGAAGAATTTAGTAACTCAGCTGTGAAGGAAAGCCTTGCTTTTAGATAAAAAAAATAAAATAAATCGAAATATAAAATTTACTAATTGGGTAATTAGTGACATAGGAATAAGGATGCATCAAGTATGGTAATTTTAGAATGATAGATAAAAGACAGTAATATGCATTCTTCCCTAAATTCTAAATCAAGATTATTATTATGCAAATCAATCTTTGAAAACTGACAATATCTAAAATTTAAACCAGAATGTATATATATATGAATGGATAAAAAATAATATTATTTTATATAATTGTTAATCAATCATTCATTAATTTTTAACATATTTCTGTTAAATTTGATCTTCTTTAACCAAATTTAATTCTAAATTGATATCAATTTTATTATGAAATATTTTTACTTTAACTATAATTAATCTTACCTTAAATATCAATTTTAATCAACATACTAATTCTACGAAATTTAATTTAATAAATATTTTGTATACCTGTTTGACATCCATTTCAAAAACTTATAATAATTTTGACAAATATAGATAAACCATTTAGTACTTAGTAGAACTATATATTAGATATTTTATCAGAAAAAATAAGATATTATTTAACTTTAATTAAAATAAAATCCCAATTAAATGTTTAGATAATTTTTTGAAATTTCAACTTTACATGTAACTTTGAAATATTCCCATAAACACAGTAATTATCTATTGTTGATTTTTGGTTTTTCTATCAGAAATTTCAAATTGAGTTACTGAATCTAATAATCAATCTACCATTTTTCTGTTGGCATATAACCTATTATTTCAGTTAAAAATATCTAATACAAGATAATATTTTTACGCAGTCTCCATAATTGGAAATTGAATACCAGTAATCTTTTTAAAAACTTTGCAAATTGTAAGTTATTTTAAAACATGTATCAATAATCCTTAAGTAAATTATTGTATAATTCTTATAAAATCTTTCATGTATTAAAATTATGATTTTTATTGTTATATATATCCAACATTATTCTATAAATTTAAACCTCGCTAATGAAGACAGAGATGATCAAACAAAAATGAAAAGAAGAAATTGCTGCTAGGATGGATTTGCATAGTAAATAATAATATTTAACTTTTATAAATTAATACTTCCATTTATAAAACATACTCTAAATATTGAATTATTAATATCAAAGAGCTCTTTCAGCTTTCAAATTTCTAGATTCACAGGTAGATACAAAAACTTCTATTCTCTTGCATTATTCCTTAAAGTCATATAAATAGCTACTCTCTATGATTTCCATGGTTAATCGACACTTTATTTTTCTACCATCAAAAGTGTCGTCTTTTAACACTAAAGTCTAATTCAAAAGAATTTTCTATCTTTTCAACATATAAGTCTTCCCATAATCCTTATCAGTTTAATAAAAATTTCCAATTTACTACTTCTTCAAGATAGATTTCATTCCTCTATCTTTATCAATAATTAAAAGTTTATCTCAGGTTAAAAATAGTTTACATGACTCAATAAGTAATATTATTGATTAGATCTGTTTATTACATCGTTTAATATCTTACTAGATCGAGTATAATTAGTTTGCAGTCAACAGTATCAGATAATTTTTGACTAATTATAATTAAATTTTATATGATATCATGTCAGATACAATTTTGAAGCTTAAGAACTGATTATTGGCTTTATATTTGATTATATATTTAAGCTTTGTAATTCTGAAATAAATTTTTATTGTTATAATTTAATTTCATTGAAGATTAGCTAAAAAAATCAAAAAGTCTATCCCTTCTTAAATAAAGGAACATCATCATCATGTTCAAACTGAAGAATAGTAGATCAGTAATTTTACTCAAAAATTAATAAATCGAAACTATAATCCTCTGATTTCATAAATTAATAAAAAGCAAACTGGTTAATTATTAAAAATGCCACAACTTTTCATTTAGCTATCACTAACAAATTATACATAGAATAAATGGTATCTTTATCACAATCTAAAGTAGAGATAATAATTAATTTTTTCAATTTAAAATTCTTTGTGCAGTCAGATAAACATGCATCATTAACCTTGAAACTTATAAGAATAGATACTTCAAAATCTTTTGGTATATCTCATTATTTATAAACTTCTCCAATTCATATTTCTCGAACCTTTTTAAGAAAAAATGTATACTTAAATAATTGAGTAAATCTTTAATTCATAGATGTGCAATAACTTTATATTATCTTGTATTCTAATCTTAAAAATTTGAATCAAAAATAGGTTTCAAAATTATTTTTCAATTCTTAAATATAAAATCTCTAAATTCATATGTGATATCTTATGATTATTTTTGATAAAAATGTCTTTATGTTATATCAAATTATATGCTGGCAATTAGTTAAAATGCTAGATCTAAAATTTAAAATAAAAGTAATTTTTTATATAATGAATTAAATTCAAAATGAAAATAAATAACAACCAATATATAACTCAAATCTAGATTTTATAATACTAATTGCTTATAAAGAATAATATATATAAATAATAATACTTGAAATTCTTAAATTAAAAAATAAAAATCTTTTCTTTAACTACTAACAATTAAAAAGTTAATTAAAATCTTGATTTGTTGATGGATATATTTTAAATTTAATTTTTATTAACATTTGGGAAAATTCATAAAATCTTTATGAATTCTTATCACTTTTTGGGATTATTTATTTACCCTGAAAGAGTTATATGATACATTCTAATTATAACAAATTATATAAAAATTTTAAATCAGCATTTATATATTCAAAGTATAATTATTTATGATATATATATATGATAGTAATATTAATCTAGAATTACTAAGCTACTCTATAATCTTAGTAGTGATTTCCAAATTCTTTGTAAAATGAACTCCAATAATACTTCTTTTCTCTAAATATATGAATTTATCCTTTATCTTCATCTTTGAGCAATCAGGCCTAAAACTATTCAGGGGACTATACAATAAACCCAGAAGTACCTTTATAGAAATCATTTTCAACATGGGAATCATGAAAACGAAATTTTTTTTCAAAACAATTAAGATAAGCAGTCCATTATGGAAAAAAGATCAATAATCTTTTTGTAGTAGGCCTTGATTTTCATTTTTGGTATTAACCTTAATAAGGCTTCTTCTAAGTTCCATAAGATAGCAACAATAATTGGATGCCAGAATTCATCGGCTTAATACCTACCAAAAAAATCAATAAATAAAAAATATGAGGTGGTTTTTAGAAAGGAACATCTTTAATTTATGCATGAATTGAATTAACTTCTTGTCAGAACAAGGTATTCAAAGTTCCCTCTGTTTGCACTAGAGAACTCAAAACTCTAGGTAAAGTCTAGTTTTTTAGTTTACATTAGTTTCCTTTGGCAATATTGTCCTATTAACTAAAGTATAAGAATTAATTATTATCTAACAGTAATAGGGTGTCATAACAAAAAACATTAAGGGTTAGTAAAAAAGCTGCTGTATGGTAATTAAGATGCTTTGGGATTTTCTTATTAAATAAGAAAATCCTATTTATCTTTCTAATATTCAAAATAATAATTTAGCACAACAATTATTTTTATATTTTCCGAAAAAAAACAGAATAAATATCTCTTAATATGAATAATCCACTCATTTTGATATTTTTATACAGGCTTTAAGTTAATATTTTTTGCTATGTTTCATCAAGATATGTATTTTCATTAAAAAAAATTTAAATGAGGAGCTGAAAAAGTTTACTTACCTAGCTGATACTACTAAATTTATATAAATTGATTATATCAATATTCAAATAAGCCTATTAGGATCACTATTAAATTTGATTCTCTGCTTTAGTCTTTAATATTTAAGAATTTTTGAGTTAAACTCATTTATAATGATTTCATAATAAATTTTTATCAAAAATGAAATCAGATTCTGAATCATTCATTAATAATTGGATTATTATAGTAAATGTTGTGTGAATAAAACATAATTAATAATAGTGAAATGTTACATTCATTTATTTTATATGAACAAGAAAATAAATTGAATTCTTGTTTAAATGATTCATAAATCTAAGTATAGTGTTTATTATATAAAAAGTAATTTGTAAAAATTTCAACAAATCCACAAGCCAATAACTCAATTTTGTGTTGATAAGTTGAGATATTCTTAACATAATATCAGATGCATAATTTCATCAGAAATCTTTAAAATAAATCAATTAATCAATTAGTTTAGAAATAGTTATTTGTTAAGTAATCACACTAGAGTTTTCTTTAATGATTCCATAAAAATAAAACTTTCATATGTATAGAGTAAATAGATAAGATTTACCAGATCATTAAGTAACACACAATCTTGATGATTATCCTACAGAATTGAATAAAAAAGCTATGTTTGAGTAAAGATCATCAATATCATAACTAAAACCTAGTGATAAATTAAAAGATTCTTTAATTAGATTGATTTTTATGATATTATTAATTTCAATGAATATTAAGGAGACTAATTTAATCATGAGGACCATAATATTCAACAATTACCAAATTGAATTAAACTAAGACTTATTAAAAAATTATATCATCAATAGAATAGATACGAAGAAATTTAGAAGCCATTCATTGTCCCTAACCATAAAATAATAAGATAATAGAAATCAAAATAATTAAATAAGATATATTGTTTCTTATGATTGAAATATCGTATAAATATCTTAATTAATCAGATAAGCGTATTAGTTAAAGAAATTTTGATGAGATTTATTTTCTAAACAATATTAAAAAACATTTTTTTCCATTTAGAAAGAAAAAGAAATTATAGTAGTAATAAATATTAATAGCCATGTTTTTAAATGCAAGTATCTAAGATGAAAGGTAATTTCAAAATAAAAAAGATACAGAAAAAATAATTTTCGATTTAACTAAGTTTATTCTTTAAAAAAAATGATTATATTACAAAATACATAAAATTGTTCTTAATGTATAAGAAAGATAAGGTGGATATATTATTTTAACAATATCAAAATTTAGAATTCAAAAAATGATTTTATTAATAAATTAAATCGAATTATTAAAAACAAACATAAAACAAAAATTGTAAGAGCAAATATATATAGTTTTATTATCAAAAATCAAAAAGAAATTCGAATTTAATTGGTTCAAAATTTGTTATGCAATTAGTTCTTTAATCAGCCAAAGATCATCAAAAGCCATAAACAAATTCATAATATACACATAAAATAATAACACATCATTTTAATTGCAGTTTAATATAGAAATTAAAAAGTTAGAAAGAACTTTTATTAATCATTTTTTATAGGGAATGAAAAATTTAGGAACCCAAATTTGATAAAAATATCAAAAGGTTATCATGAAATTCAAACTAATCATGTTATTAGATCAAAAATATCCTTTTAAATTCTTTATATAATTTCAGGAAATTATTTGTATCTAAACTTATGAAGATTTAATAAATATTCTAAGAATATGCAAAATAAAAAATTTTTCAAAAATTTACTAAAATTAATTTAAATAATTGAAAAACCTACAATTATTAGTCATTTTATAATTAATATTAATCTAATTTTAAATATTTATTATTACTTAAAAATGAAGAAAAGATAATGATACAGAATAAGTTGTCAGAAATTTTCAATTAGATTGAAACTGAAATGGAAACGAAATAAATGAAACACTCTAAACCTGTTTACTACTTTTTAAAAATTAAGATGAAATCAAATTATTTATCCAACAAGCATATAAATATAATAGTTTTGAAATTTACTGGGAGAAGATATATTAAAAAAAAAAAAATTAAGTCTTCCATAATTTAATTGGATATTGTGTTGAAGTTGATGTAAGAAAATTAAGAGGCAAGAATTTTTTATAATTATTAAACAAACTATAGTAGAGGACTACTAAATATCTTTGGAAAGAAGAGAAGGAATAGTAACTGACAATTAATTACATTTCTTATAATAATTTTGACTGAGAATTTTATGAATTGATTAAGAAAAGAANTATAAGAAAGATAAGGTGGATATATTATTTTAACAATATCAAAATTTAGAATTCAAAAAATGATTTTATTAATAAATTAAATCGAATTATTAAAAACAAACATAAAACAAAAATTGTAAGAGCAAATATATATAGTTTTATTATCAAAAATCAAAAAGAAATTCGAATTTAATTGGTTCAAAATTTGTTATGCAATTAGTTCTTTAATCAGCCAAAGATCATCAAAAGCCATAAACAAATTCATAATATACACATAAAATAATAACACATCATTTTAATTGCAGTTTAATATAGAAATTAAAAAGTTAGAAAGAACTTTTATTAATCATTTTTTATAGGGAATGAAAAATTTAGGAACCCAAATTTGATAAAAATATCAAAAGGTTATCATGAAATTCAAACTAATCATGTTATTAGATCAAAAATATCCTTTTAAATTCTTTATATAATTTCAGGAAATTATTTGTATCTAAACTTATGAAGATTTAATAAATATTCTAAGAATATGCAAAATAAAAAATTTTTCAAAAATTTACTAAAATTAATTTAAATAATTGAAAAACCTACAATTATTAGTCATTTTATAATTAATATTAATCTAATTTTAAATATTTATTATTACTTAAAAATGAAGAAAAGATAATGATACAGAATAAGTTGTCAGAAATTTTCAATTAGATTGAAACTGAAATGGAAACGAAATAAATGAAACACTCTAAACCTGTTTACTACTTTTTAAAAATTAAGATGAAATCAAATTATTTATCCAACAAGCATATAAATATAATAGTTTTGAAATTTACTGGGAGAAGATATATTAAAAAAAAAAAAATTAAGTCTTCCATAATTTAATTGGATATTGTGTTGAAGTTGATGTAAGAAAATTAAGAGGCAAGAATTTTTTATAATTATTAAACAAACTATAGTAGAGGACTACTAAATATCTTTGGAAAGAAGAGAAGGAATAGTAACTGACAATTAATTACATTTCTTATAATAATTTTGACTGAGAATTTTATGAATTGATTAAGAAAAGAAAAAGAATATTATTTTAATAAAAGGCAGATAAGGCTTAGAGAAAAGTATAGTGTCATGTAATAGAAAATAAATAATAAGGAGTTGCAATATTATTTAGCCTAATTGGATCTTGATTTATGTATCATACCCTTCATTTAAGATCCTAATATGATTGATAAAGCTCTTGAATTTATAAATTAAAAATTTAATAACATTTAGATAAAAGAATTCAAAGAGGCTTGAAGAAATGGAAATCTAAAATTAATAATTATTTTGGAAAGTTAAGATGAGATGAAATTTAATTACATTAAAATATCTTTACCAAAATAACAGGCTGACTTAAGTTTTAAGTATTAGGATAAATTGGAAAAATTATAATTACAATTAATATTTCTATCAATCTAATTTTATTAAGGATGTATTATAAAAACATTTTAATTGACGCTAAATTAAAAAGTCAAATCAATTAATTCTAAAATGTTATATATTATTTTAGGCAATTGTAGATTATTATTTTAATATCATTTTGATGAAAAGGATAAGAGTGTGGGATCTGAGCTAAAAGTTTGTTTTGATAAAATCTAGGATGTTTTGGCTCACGAAAACAATAAATTTGGAGCATAAGGTATAATAAGTTCATTAATATTTCTTAAAAAATAAAGATTACATAACTATAACCCTGAAATCTAATAAAATTTAAGATATTTAAAAACCTGTGATTGTTTTTCATATTGGGGAAATATTCATATAATAAAATGACTATATTGATATTTTATTACATATCTCAAAAAAAAATAATTGGTTAGGATATTTATAAAGTAATGAGAAATCAATATAACTTACATTCTTTTTATTTTAAGAATCTATTTACCTAAATTGAAACATTTTGAAAATGACCCTTCATATCAAATCCTCTTAAGCATTTTTAAAGTAACACTTTTGATGATTTTTATCATTAATATATATAATTTGATCATAATTAATTTATTAGCAGACCCTTTTAAGATATTACTATTGTAATTTTGAATATATATACTTACAAAAAAAATCTATATTAATAATTAATTGATCACAAAAATATTGTATTTATCTATCATATACTTCTTAATCTGAGAATTAAAAGAATTTATATTAGAAACAATTTAAATAATTTAATCCAGTTTCCAGAATTGCTAATTTGATTCAATTTTTATATAACACTATATAATTTGATTACATTTCACCAATTGAGATAAACTTTTTATTAAAACAATAAAATATTGTTTAAATTAAAATTGCATAAGAAAAAATATTGAGATTGACTGAGGATGTATATTTTATCCGTCATTAAGTTTTAATTTATTTCCATTAGATAAAAAATTAAGGACTCAGTAATAATGATACTTTACCAATATTAAAAAATCAATAAAAGAGAAAAAGGATTACATGATAAGCTTGTAAATTTTGTTAAAATTGGTAAGATTAAAAAGCATTTGAACTTCAAGATTAAAAGTTAATTCAAAATTTTCCAATTTATAAAAATGAGCATAATTTTTAATATTCAACGAAATCTCAAGATAAATATGAAAGAAGAAATAGAAATAAATAAATGTTTTAATTTATAAAGAAAAAATACAATTAAGTAAATTGAAATAAATTTATAATGAAACTATAGTCTATTATTTAAAAGGATATATAATAATTTAAGATAATGAGTACTTGAATTGATTGTAATTTATTTATAATGGTAATCATATTAATTTAAATAATCAACTTCAATAATTACCTAAATTTTTATAGCCCCCTATAAAATTACTTTTTTATTTATCATATTGATAATGTTAATTAGATGAATATCTTTATTATTTAGGTTAAGGTATGATTTGTGATTAGAATTTTTGAGGAGAATTTTTCCATGATTAATTCCTTTCGAATGATGATGTGGAATATAATTACTTCTCATTATCATATATTTATGATTAGAATTACTACATTTTAGGAAAGTTAGATTCTAATTTGGATTATGTCAACATTTCATATTACCTATATATATTAATAATTATACTTTGCTTTGGCTAAGATATCATTTTTTGTAGGGATGGGATAGTAATTCTGTTATTTTATTTGACCAATATTTCTGTCAATAAGTTACATTGAAGAAAAGATTTAAGAAACAACTTGTTGATTGAAATTAGGAGCTATATTAATCTTTTCAAGTTGTTATTAATCGCATTTTATGTAGTCAGATAAACTATTCTTGTAATATAAATTTAAATATTTGGAATTTTGAATAGGATATGGTAATTGTGAGATAATTTCCTTCACTTTCTATTTCTCCCTTTTTATTAATTATTAATATTTTGGATCTTTGTAATTTTATTATATATCATAGTGAATTAAATTTGATATATTTAGTTAAGAAATTACTTTATTTCTACACAAAGTTACTATTTCATTATTTGGATCATTCTTAAAGTATTNTAAAATATTGTTTAAATTAAAATTGCATAAGAAAAAATATTGAGATTGACTGAGGATGTATATTTTATCCGTCATTAAGTTTTAATTTATTTCCATTAGATAAAAAATTAAGGACTCAGTAATAATGATACTTTACCAATATTAAAAAATCAATAAAAGAGAAAAAGGATTACATGATAAGCTTGTAAATTTTGTTAAAATTGGTAAGATTAAAAAGCATTTGAACTTCAAGATTAAAAGTTAATTCAAAATTTTCCAATTTATAAAAATGAGCATAATTTTTAATATTCAACGAAATCTCAAGATAAATATGAAAGAAGAAATAGAAATAAATAAATGTTTTAATTTATAAAGAAAAAATACAATTAAGTAAATTGAAATAAATTTATAATGAAACTATAGTCTATTATTTAAAAGGATATATAATAATTTAAGATAATGAGTACTTGAATTGATTGTAATTTATTTATAATGGTAATCATATTAATTTAAATAATCAACTTCAATAATTACCTAAATTTTTATAGCCCCCTATAAAATTACTTTTTTATTTATCATATTGATAATGTTAATTAGATGAATATCTTTATTATTTAGGTTAAGGTATGATTTGTGATTAGAATTTTTGAGGAGAATTTTTCCATGATTAATTCCTTTCGAATGATGATGTGGAATATAATTACTTCTCATTATCATATATTTATGATTAGAATTACTACATTTTAGGAAAGTTAGATTCTAATTTGGATTATGTCAACATTTCATATTACCTATATATATTAATAATTATACTTTGCTTTGGCTAAGATATCATTTTTTGTAGGGATGGGATAGTAATTCTGTTATTTTATTTGACCAATATTTCTGTCAATAAGTTACATTGAAGAAAAGATTTAAGAAACAACTTGTTGATTGAAATTAGGAGCTATATTAATCTTTTCAAGTTGTTATTAATCGCATTTTATGTAGTCAGATAAACTATTCTTGTAATATAAATTTAAATATTTGGAATTTTGAATAGGATATGGTAATTGTGAGATAATTTCCTTCACTTTCTATTTCTCCCTTTTTATTAATTATTAATATTTTGGATCTTTGTAATTTTATTATATATCATAGTGAATTAAATTTGATATATTTAGTTAAGAAATTACTTTATTTCTACACAAAGTTACTATTTCATTATTTGGATCATTCTTAAAGTATTCAGATACTGTTTATAATGAATAGAGGAGGTTAATCAAATTTTAAAAATCTTCAAAAATATAATACTATATTTAAGCTTAATCTTAAAGTTATTCTACTTGATAACTTTATGTTTATGTTTATGTTTATGTTAATCTCTAATACATCATTTGATTTCTTTAATTTTAGTATTGATCATTAAACTATTATTTATTTGATGTTTGATATGAATTTCCTCTCACATTTTATTATGAAGGATAAATAGCAGAATTATACATGAATAATAATAATACAATATTTTAGTATATAATACATCAGATCAATTAATAGAATATAAAATTTATTCTATTATTAAAATATATTTTATTTCGAAAATATTAAAGATTAAGAAAAATTGTATTTTTATTTAAGAATTTTGATTATGAACTTCTTGTTCTTCTAACTTTTTAATTAAAAATTGCATTTAAAACTTGTAATCTGTTATTTTATCTAAACTATACAAATAATAAAATTATTTATGGCAATTAAAATCTACGATTATTAAAAATTAATCGCTATATCTTAATGTAATGATATATAAATTCATCTTTACAATAATTAAATATCAAATAAACATATATAGAAACCATCTGGAAGTTTAATATTTTTGAATTTTATTTTTTATAATATAATCTATAATAATATTGAATATACTATTCTCATTTCATTAATGAAGAAAGGTAATCTATTATCTTTTTCTAGAATTGGTAATCATTTTAAAATTAAAATTCTTATAGAATTTTTATCAATTGTTTTAAATTCTATAAATTTAATACTGGTTCATATTATTAAAGATTTTTTCCAAATTTAATTAGATCTTCATTACTAGAAGCATTAATTATCAATTTTGCCTTACTCTAATTTGTTTCATATTTTGCTTAAGCAAAACAAGTCAATTATATAATAGTTTTTAAATACTGATTTCCTCCAAATATACCACATCCCCACCGTCCTGTTGAAATATCTTAATCAGGTTAGTATTTTAAAGCTAATAAAAATCCTGAATAACATTTAAGCATTTCTCTATCTAAATTTGGCTTCTTAAACTACATTTAACTTCCACTAAAGGGCTTTGCATCAATGGCCTAAATATGTAAAATAATTACAAGCATATTATAACATTAGTTTATGAAATTATTTTATTATTTCCATCTGAAAGATTACTCATATCCAGAATAATTTGAGTATTTCTTTATATTTGTGATTAAAACTGCCTCATTTGCCTGCATGGGAGGAATAAATATCATAGATACTAAAGCTTCTGGATATATAAGCATAAGAATCTTAATTATTATAATAATTATATACTTCTTCTTATGCACAATTATAACTATCCAATGTCAAACCTCCAATATGTTCATCTGCAAAGTCAACAACAGTTGAATTCATTTAATCTTCATTTCTAGTATCGGTTATATCTATATTTATATTTTATTTGCTCTTATCATCATCTTATTTGTATTAAAATTCATTATTTTGAGTATTTTTTATGAATTTAATAATTTAATCTTTAAAAATCACTTTTTCATCACTATCAAATGAAAAATTTGAAACATTATCTTAATTCTAGTAGTATAACATGATATAATTCTCTATACATAACATCTTCTAATAACAAAGTTAATTTTAAGCTCTCTTTAAATTATCCATATTAATAATATAAAATCCTCCAAACTATTTCTATCTATATATTAATTTAAGAAACATTAATATGATTAAAGTAAATATTTCTTCTCTTTTAAGTTCTACTATCTAATTTTTATTCCACTAATCATTAATTCTTATCAATAATTGCTCTAATTTGTTTTTATCATTTAAAATTTTATTTTTAAGAAAATTACAAAATTAAGAGTCTGTTTATTTGTCAATCTTTTTAAAAGTCTCCTATTAGTCAACTAGATTTGAATATTCATTGTCAACTAAAAAACATTAAAATTCTTAATCTTATTTAAGCATTCTATTACTATTTATTATTTAAATTATTTAATAATGTATAAAAATAATTTTTAGTATATTTAATATTATTTTTAAGAAAGGATCCAACAATTAAGAATCTAAGTGAGTTCTATAAGTTTAATAATTTCTTTCAATTTAACTCTCAAGCCTTTAATGACTTATGATTTTAGTCTGCTATAACTAACTAAATAAGAAATATTTCATAATTTTGTTAGAAAAGAACTAAAACCCAGAAAACTGATAAGAATTATTTTTAAAAATCATATACTTTAATTAAAATTTTTGAATGATTGTACTAAAATATTTTTATAGGTAAAACCAATATCATGGCAAATTGAATTATAATTGTTTCATTAATAATCTAAATTAAAAGCAATTATTGATGAAAAAATGATAAAAATGAATTTCTTAAAAGTAAAATTAATAAATTATTAAAATTCTTTTAATTAATAAATTGCTGCATATTTAAATTAACAAGAAAGTCTTTTTTGGTTAATTTTACTTTCATCCAAAAAGTCTATCTAATCTAAATTTTATATCTCCATTATAGTTCATTTCAATAAAAAGTATAACTAGGGTATACTCATTCTTTATAATAAGAATTCTACATATTCTCATGGATAAATAATTACAAAGATTCATTGAAACTGAGCCTAATTAATTTAATATACAAAGATTTGTTTTTCTTCTTATATATATCCAAGGTACTATGATTAATAGCTCAAAATTATACTTAATTGCTATAGTGATTTGATAAATTGTACTTAATTGACCTTTAACCACTTAGTGCATTAGATAAGAGAACAAACCCAAAAATTCCAATCTGTTATTACTTATTTCATGATTTCATAGTTTATAATACATAGCTAAAGATATTCTATTTCATATACAAGCAGATATATGAGTATTAGATTGTGATTATGCAGATCAATTATATAAAATCTTCTAAATAATAATATATATCTATATGGTAGCACTTATAATTTGAAAAATTAGATGGAAATCATATGAGTATTAATTGCTGTTTCTCTCTACTTCTTAAAGATTTGTTAGAAGAGTACACAGAAATCATCATAAATCCTTTATGGTAATTTAATTGGTTAAAAAATAATTAATATTCCAAATTATGGATTAGATTATTCATTAATAATAAATCAAGCAACTTTTTTACTATTGATTTTAGTTTATAATATGAGATTATATATAATGCAAATGGTGTTTTATGGGATTAGAGTCTATAGATATAAAATTTGAATATTCATGGAAAACTTTTCTAGTATTTTGATCAAAATTTTTTTGTTTAATTAATGAACAATTATATAATCATATTCTCTAAATATTTATTAATTTGTTAATAATTACAACTGTCATAAAAAGAACCTAAGGAAAATTTTAATATTTTAAGAAGTAATTTTAATTAAGGACTGAAGTTTATAATAAATATATGCTAAAATAGTAGCTATATTATTAATCGATATGAGATATAACTTTTTTACTTCAAATGTCAATTGATATTATAATTTATGTTTTAGCTAATAAATAAGTTAAGAATATATGAAATATTCATTCTGAACTTATTTTCCAAAATTATTTATATTTTATAATATTGATAATATTATATTATTATAATAAAAGTTAATTTTCCATATATTATTATAAATATTTTAATTTTCCATTAATATTAACAATTAAATATCATAAGCTGTTGTATAATCATATAAATCAATAGATTCCATATTTAATTGATACATATTTAATTTATATTCTGTTTAATTACAAAAATGGAATTATTTTTCTAATAATAATAACAATATGTTGTTAATTATTATGATTTTTGGATTTCAGATATTTTAAATAAATTCAAAAGCATGTGAAATTTAGAAAATACAATCTAAAATAACCTGTTATTAATTAGTTTAAGATTGTTTCATATTGGAAGGAAATGAAGAAGATTACTACAAACTCAAACATATTGATAAAGAAATTGTATAAAAATTATTTAGTATACCTTACAGAGATATTCCTATCTAAACAAAAATATTAAAATCATTTGATTAAGAGAAGATCTAATAGAAACTTATTTGTTAATTGTTTCTAAATTAGTAATATTATATAAAATGTATCAAATTTGATATATTAAATAATGAGAAAAATGAAAATGAATTAGAAGTTATTAATTTGCGGACAAATATTATTTTTGAAGAGTCCTGTGATGAATTTTATTAACTAGATAGTGAAAACTTGATATTATTTTGCATGAGCTAATTTACTTTAAAGCAATACTCAATCAATCTATAAGGTGATGTAATTCTTATGTTTGAATACGATGTTTCTATTTAAATTTAGGATAAATGCAATAAAAAACAATTCAAACTTTTAGAGAAAAACTAATTAATAATTGTGTTTTTTAATTGTTTTTAATGGAAAATTTTATATTTAAATAATCAATAAATAAACATTGTTTTGGAATCTAAAATGAAGGAAAATAATCATAATCTTTTGAAATTAAAAAAAATAGATAATGTACAATTTTGCTAAATAAATTCACTAAATCTTTTCCTTATTGAAGGTAATAATTACCTTTAGATTATTTGGGAATAGAATGTAAATATATTTATTCATTAATTATACTCAAGTGAAAATCAAATATTAAAAATAATATTTTCTAAAATTTGTTCAAAAATTATCCTAATAACTAAGAATAATGAGACAAATTCATAAACTATTAGGCTATTATCTAATGAAATAGTTTTAAATTAGTATTTTGATAAAGATTAAATTCATTTTTTTTCCAATTTTCTCTTTCTATAAAATTAAACTGAATTAAATATTAGGATTGACGAACATCTAAATTAAAAATATACAATTTTGAATTCATCTTTAACTTTTTTAGAATAAGATAATTTGTTTTATTAAATCGATAAATCTAAAGATTAATTATAATTCTATAGATATTTTCCAATTAGTGGTGATATTTAACCTAAATAATAATATGTATATTTACTAAAGAAACTTGATAGGGTTGGTGAATAATCATTATTTAAGTGTTTCAGAATATAATATAAGAATATTATTGAAGAGAAAACTATATTGCAATATTAGGCATTAATATATAAGAATTGCTAAGATATATAGTAAACTAAACTCAAAATTCCAGTTTTTTCTTCATTTCTATAAAAAGAATTTGAACTTTATAATAATTAAACTGGAATTGTTAGATTGAGTATCTAGAATGAAGCAAAACTAAAAAACTTATGCTATTAAAGATTATAAGGATATAATTTTAAAAGTAAGATTTCCATATAATCTATGAAAAATGTAAATTATATTGTATTTAATGACGAAAATAAGATATATTTCCTTAATTGTTAATAAAACCAAATATCAATGAGCATAAACACAAATTAATTTGAAATATAATCTATCTCAATATATTTAATAAACTTTTTGATTTTACTAGAATATCTAGGAGATTATTATATAATTGATAAAAATAAGATGAAAATAGAAATGATTTAACTTATTTCTAATTCAATAAATATAATTTAAATTCAATCTAATATTGAAATAATAAGTGTCTAACAAATCTCTGAATCAATTATAATTTATGTTAAGAATATGAAAATTCCAATCTTAATATCTATAGAACCTTTTTCATAAAGTCGTACTAATTATAGGTTTATGAAAATTATATGTAAAATATTTCCTTATATATATTTTTTTCACAATAGCTTTCATAAAATCTATATTAGCCAGATAAAATACTTTATTATAAAGAGCTTGGATTTTATAAATTTATTCAATATAAAAATATTCTTGCTTTCGAATTAAATGGATAAGTAAAATGTTTTTTATTATCAGACGTCTAAATTGTTTAAATTAAAAATTGGTTAAAGGATCTCTTTTTAATTTGGGCAGTACATGATCAAACTAACTCAATAATTCTATATCATCTTGACGATTATGAATTACATTAATTCAGCAATTATACTCTTAAAGAATATTATTTTTCAAATCCTTTAAAGTACACTTATTCTTATTTGAAACTAGCTATTTTAATTGAAAAAAACTAATCTTATTTTATAGCTACATATAGTTTAACAATTACAACAATTAAATTGATTGATATTATATCAACAAACGATACTTATTTTTAATTTATCAATAATACTTTAGTATATTTGAATAATGAATAAATCTGTTACCATTATTTGGATGAGATAGTTGCACTTATTTAAACTAATGTTAGTAACTAAAAATCATTATTATAATCATATCACATAACATTAAATCCAACTTACAAATTTGAAGATGGTATCTAATTAAACATCATAATATAAAATGACTGTCAGCTTTTATTTTCTTAAGAGAATTAGACTACTTTAACAATTCAAAAGCATGAAAATTTGAAAATAAAGATATCTGAATTATTTTTAGGTCCTATACATAATTTAACAATTAAAGACAATTCAAATATTAAATTGAAGGGACTTTTGCAATTCATTTAAGAAATTTAAGATTGCATAGATATATTAGTCCACTGTATTAAAATAAAAACTATTGTATTCTTAAATTAAAATAAGATAGTAATGTATCCATTTTAAGTAATCATACTAAATGACAAATTCATATAGCCAAATATTGAAAAGGACTTCCAATAGGTATTTTGGATATCAAATAATATTTTTTTATGGTTTTATCAATTAGATGATTAATTGCATATTCAATTACTTTAGTGCATCTTAGAAGATAATTAAAATTGTAAGGAACTCTAGGTGTAAATAATAAACTTTAAAGTTGGTCAACCTGTTAATGAAAATATTATAAAAACATAAAATTTAATTAAATTGTAGAATAAATTAAATTAGACTTATATATTTATTTAAAATTAGACTTTTAGTTTAATATTTTTTCCCATTAATAATTTGGATATTAAATACATCGAATAATCAGATGATTAATANGCTTTCATAAAATCTATATTAGCCAGATAAAATACTTTATTATAAAGAGCTTGGATTTTATAAATTTATTCAATATAAAAATATTCTTGCTTTCGAATTAAATGGATAAGTAAAATGTTTTTTATTATCAGACGTCTAAATTGTTTAAATTAAAAATTGGTTAAAGGATCTCTTTTTAATTTGGGCAGTACATGATCAAACTAACTCAATAATTCTATATCATCTTGACGATTATGAATTACATTAATTCAGCAATTATACTCTTAAAGAATATTATTTTTCAAATCCTTTAAAGTACACTTATTCTTATTTGAAACTAGCTATTTTAATTGAAAAAAACTAATCTTATTTTATAGCTACATATAGTTTAACAATTACAACAATTAAATTGATTGATATTATATCAACAAACGATACTTATTTTTAATTTATCAATAATACTTTAGTATATTTGAATAATGAATAAATCTGTTACCATTATTTGGATGAGATAGTTGCACTTATTTAAACTAATGTTAGTAACTAAAAATCATTATTATAATCATATCACATAACATTAAATCCAACTTACAAATTTGAAGATGGTATCTAATTAAACATCATAATATAAAATGACTGTCAGCTTTTATTTTCTTAAGAGAATTAGACTACTTTAACAATTCAAAAGCATGAAAATTTGAAAATAAAGATATCTGAATTATTTTTAGGTCCTATACATAATTTAACAATTAAAGACAATTCAAATATTAAATTGAAGGGACTTTTGCAATTCATTTAAGAAATTTAAGATTGCATAGATATATTAGTCCACTGTATTAAAATAAAAACTATTGTATTCTTAAATTAAAATAAGATAGTAATGTATCCATTTTAAGTAATCATACTAAATGACAAATTCATATAGCCAAATATTGAAAAGGACTTCCAATAGGTATTTTGGATATCAAATAATATTTTTTTATGGTTTTATCAATTAGATGATTAATTGCATATTCAATTACTTTAGTGCATCTTAGAAGATAATTAAAATTGTAAGGAACTCTAGGTGTAAATAATAAACTTTAAAGTTGGTCAACCTGTTAATGAAAATATTATAAAAACATAAAATTTAATTAAATTGTAGAATAAATTAAATTAGACTTATATATTTATTTAAAATTAGACTTTTAGTTTAATATTTTTTCCCATTAATAATTTGGATATTAAATACATCGAATAATCAGATGATTAATATGTTGCTTTATATATGTTGGATTTTAAATAACAATTTGAAATAGTAATTTACTAAATTAATTGGAGTGGAATTTATCAATAATTTTCTTAGATAATCACCAAAGTAATTTCAAATTTATTGCCTACATATAAGATAAATGAAAGTTTTAAAAATATTAGATTGGTCTCCTGCAAATAAAATTTAAGTATTACTAATGTTGTTTTTTTTTTGACCAATCATCATTAATCCTTTATGATATAACTTTAGATTAATGTTTAAAATGGTTCTATTCTTTCTTTTCAATTGACAAAACAGATAAGAGACCCATAATTAAATTTTGAATTCAAACCCAGTTATCTAGAAGAAAATTTTTTAGTTTTACAATAGGTTAATTAAATTGTTACATATTATTATGATCTTCAGGAAGAAAGAATATTTTATGATTCTATATATCGCTTAAATTCATATATTAAAATCATAAGGATAAATACTACACATTTTATTTTCATTAATCAATCACACATATATTGTGGAATATTAAAATATGAAATAGATTTTCTAAATATTAACAATTCATCTTTCAACTTTATTTTATTTGCTTAGAATGAAGTATCAAATGCACAAATTTCAATACTTTTAATTCTCAAATCTTTTAATGATTTCCATATGTCAATCATTATTATTTAATTTATAAATCTAGTTTTTATAATATTTTAAGTGAAATAAAAATATTTTGGGATAATCACAAAAGTAAAAATTACAGATTTACATACATAAGATACTTTAAGTTGATTGTTGAAGATAAAAAATATGAAATTATATCTAAAAAATATTTTCATCGTTAATAATTATAAAATATATTCTTATCCGATTAAATTGTTTTTTGAAAATAAAATAATTCTTTAATGAATTTAGATTTAATTATCAAATTCAATCTAATAGTTTCTTAAATATGTTAATTTGTTTATTTTTATTTTATCAATTAAATATATCAATACCATGATAATTCGATAAAAAAGAAATTTTGGTTTAAAATAGATTGTAAAAAATTTAGTTTAATAATTATTTATAAATGATATAATTTTTCTTTTAATGAATAGGTTGATATAACTTAATTACGATTACATTTTAAATTTTTTATACTTAATGTAATTAGCAATCCTTATTAATTAAAAAATTATTTTTAATCATTAAAGTAACTTATCTTAATCCTCAATTTTAACTTATTACTTATATTTAATACATTTTTCCTTAAATGATGACTCAGTTTAATTTAATAATAACAGTAAATTCGAATACTCAAAATAATTTCTAGAAATAAATTTAATCAAATGAATAACTGGATTAGAATGCAAAATATTAATGATTTTCTTTTAGAAATGTCTATTAATATAAATTGTCTCTGGATTATTATAAATACTAGAAAGCTGTTAATTAAATATAATCTTAATAAGAAATAAAATAATTTGGAGGAAAATTCTTTATTTGTTTAAATCGCACAGAACATTCTAGATTTTTCTATCGATTTTATTAAAAATGATTATCCATTATTTGTTATCCATAATAAATAATTTTTAGTATGTTAAATTAAGAGTGTTGTGCTTCTATTTAATTAAATAATAAGCCATATCAATATGAACTTATTTCAAAAGATGGGATTCATTAATAGCAATTATGCTATGCCATAGCTATTAATGATAGTAATACACTCTTAACTTGTTCAGCATATAAAAATATTAAAATACTTTAATTCAAAAATGGATAGANTACACATTTTATTTTCATTAATCAATCACACATATATTGTGGAATATTAAAATATGAAATAGATTTTCTAAATATTAACAATTCATCTTTCAACTTTATTTTATTTGCTTAGAATGAAGTATCAAATGCACAAATTTCAATACTTTTAATTCTCAAATCTTTTAATGATTTCCATATGTCAATCATTATTATTTAATTTATAAATCTAGTTTTTATAATATTTTAAGTGAAATAAAAATATTTTGGGATAATCACAAAAGTAAAAATTACAGATTTACATACATAAGATACTTTAAGTTGATTGTTGAAGATAAAAAATATGAAATTATATCTAAAAAATATTTTCATCGTTAATAATTATAAAATATATTCTTATCCGATTAAATTGTTTTTTGAAAATAAAATAATTCTTTAATGAATTTAGATTTAATTATCAAATTCAATCTAATAGTTTCTTAAATATGTTAATTTGTTTATTTTTATTTTATCAATTAAATATATCAATACCATGATAATTCGATAAAAAAGAAATTTTGGTTTAAAATAGATTGTAAAAAATTTAGTTTAATAATTATTTATAAATGATATAATTTTTCTTTTAATGAATAGGTTGATATAACTTAATTACGATTACATTTTAAATTTTTTATACTTAATGTAATTAGCAATCCTTATTAATTAAAAAATTATTTTTAATCATTAAAGTAACTTATCTTAATCCTCAATTTTAACTTATTACTTATATTTAATACATTTTTCCTTAAATGATGACTCAGTTTAATTTAATAATAACAGTAAATTCGAATACTCAAAATAATTTCTAGAAATAAATTTAATCAAATGAATAACTGGATTAGAATGCAAAATATTAATGATTTTCTTTTAGAAATGTCTATTAATATAAATTGTCTCTGGATTATTATAAATACTAGAAAGCTGTTAATTAAATATAATCTTAATAAGAAATAAAATAATTTGGAGGAAAATTCTTTATTTGTTTAAATCGCACAGAACATTCTAGATTTTTCTATCGATTTTATTAAAAATGATTATCCATTATTTGTTATCCATAATAAATAATTTTTAGTATGTTAAATTAAGAGTGTTGTGCTTCTATTTAATTAAATAATAAGCCATATCAATATGAACTTATTTCAAAAGATGGGATTCATTAATAGCAATTATGCTATGCCATAGCTATTAATGATAGTAATACACTCTTAACTTGTTCAGCATATAAAAATATTAAAATACTTTAATTCAAAAATGGATAGATGAAACAACTCTAATAAATATAAAAACATACAGATTGGGTCACTACTCTTAATTTTTTTAAATAGAGACCAAACTTTGTTTCTGGTTCTTAAGATGCATCAATAATTATTTGGTTCTCAATTCTTATGATAAATCCAAAGTATATGATGAAGTTAAAAGGACATTCTAGACTCATAAGTTGCGTTGCATTAAATCATATCAATGAAAACCTCTTTATTAGTGGATCAGGAGATGGCAAATTGTAATTCTGGTCTTCCTAAGCACCTGCTACTTCTGAATGGTCTTGTTTTCAAACAATAAAAGAGCATACAAATACTATTTATGAGTGCTCATTTAATGAGGATGGTAATCAATTAATTACTTGTGGATAAGATTGCAAGATATTAATAATCGAAAAATAACATAATTAGTAATAATGGGATGTTAAATAGGTTATTTAATTGAATAGGAGAGGTTATAGATTGAAATTTATAAATAATTAGACCTTTGTATTTTTACCCTACTCCTCTAATGATCTTCGAATTTATAAACTTAGTATGACAGCACCTACAAAGGAAGCGTATATAAATACATAAAATATTCCAATTCATGGAGGTGAACAATCTTGTATGTGTTACTATCCATCTCAATACAATAAATAGAAAAATATTTTGATAATAAAAAATGGATGCAATGTAAATTGTTTAAGATTCTTACAATCCCCTTATTCCATTTAGTTTTTAGATTGTGAATATGAATATCAAATTGTTTGTGATTAGAAGAGTGAAGGAAATATTTTTGGTACATTAAGTAATGATGGAGAATTTTTAATATATTGGGATGCAAATTCAAAGGAAATTAAGGTAAGAAAATATACAGAAAACTTTTGAATTCATAATAGAAATTTATTTAATTTAATATAAATCAATTTTTCTTTGCAAAAAATGAAAAATTAGGAATTTTTAACAAAAATAATCATTTTTATATATTGTACTATATAGAATCAATTTTCTTTTTAGAGACAAATAATAATAATGTTGAATTAAATTATTTAATTCACAATATTTTTAACTTTTTTATAAATTCTGTTAATTTCTTAATATAATTTCTAAATGTAAAATATTCTTAAATAAGTTCAACTGCTACATAGAAGTCAATAGAAATTCTAAATAATTGAGTTATTTTTTTAATCATCCTCAGTAAAAGAATTAGAAATAAAGATTTTATTATAAGAGATATATAGGATTGAAAATTATTAATAAAAAATTATTCAATGTTAATATGATTAAACTTTATATTATATTTTCATTTTTTGTGTGCAATAAAAGCTATGATTAGCAGTATAAATGCCACTACCATAAAGATAATGAATAAAATGCCCACAAAAATTACAAAAAGAGTTACTTCTAAGTAAATAAAGAGTGCACCTGATATATACTCATCCAAATTAAGGTTAAACTAAAATTATTATATGAAATACTTTTCCTCTCTATATCAATCTGGTTTCAAATAATAGTAGACATACATAGATTAAATGAATAAGTACACTTATAACTATCAGCCAAGCTAACTCAGTGTATATCATTATAAAAATAAATATGATGAATACATCAAGTATAAGTGCGATTAGCAAAATGTCTAAACATAAGATTATATATTACATGAAGCATTTATGAATTAAGAATCCTTAAATTTATATGCAATAATTGTCCCAAATGTACATACAGTCATGCAAAATTAATATAAGATTATTATCAAACTGTTTTCATTCCACCATAGTTGGTCAGCATATGGTGCTGCCAAGACACACCCTACTCCAAAGGAATACAAGAAATATACAATCAGATTAAAGGGAGGCTATTCTATATAAAAATTACATTACTCTTCTGAACAATTTTATTAAATAAGCCATTAATCCTAACAAAATTGTAGATGAAAAAATAACCCAATACAAAGGAGTTGGGTATCCTAAAAAGATTAAACTCCATCTGAACTCGAAGGAATAATAAAACATTATGACCATTAGATACTGTAGTATGAACAAACCAGCTAAAAATATGTATAGCTTAACAATAAATAGCATTTGCTGGTCATGACTTGAATATTCTTGACTAGCAACGATAGGAGATTCAGGAAAATATTAATACCAACCTAATGCTTTAGAAGTTTCATTAAATATCCCTTATTCATTTATTTCTTATTTTGTAACCACCATAGGTACATTAGTGGTTTGTGTATCATTGACTTTTGACATCTTATAGATTTATTTTTATTTAAAATTTAATGAAATATTTATATGGATTGTTTAATTTTTATATATAAAAAAAAGATACTTGATATTTAAAGTCTATATTAATACTAAATACTATGTATATTTATCCTTTATTAGGATAGGATATAGGTATTCGAACTATAATTAAGGAAGAAATAAAAATATGGAATCAAAAAACATGTTGTGAAAATCTAAGAAAAAAGTCACAAAAAAAACATTTATGTGTTATAGATATTGAATTTAGATAAAATAAGTTGAGTAAGAGTGTTTGCAAAATTAGTTATTTATAAACCTGATATATTTAATTATGACGAACTATTTAATAATAATTAATTTATTTTTAAATCTAATTAAATTATTAATACTTTTTTGGTTATTTTTTTGATTATTTATCAAGTTAATAACTACTAGAAATTAAATAATGAAAAAGTTAATAATAATTCATATAAGGAAGGTATAATTAGTTAAAATTATGATTGGAGAACCCATGAGTGGATTTATAGACTTTATTCTAAGGATTACTTTTACTTATAAAGGTTATAATGAAAGGGATTAGAAATATTCAATTTACAATCTATAAAATTTTTCAAGAGTTACAGAATATATAGCTATAAATATTAAAAATTATGTATAACTTTTAGTAGTTTAGATAGAAAAAGTTATTAAAAAAATAAATTTACATATTTCAAAAAAATTGATACAGATTAGACAATTTTTTATTTTACTTTTTATTCCTTTCTTTATGCTAAAAGAATTTATATATACTCAGTAACTAACATTTAAATGAAAAAAAAAAAAATGCATAGAAACCAGCTTCAAATAACTTTACAAATAAGGAAAATATTAAGCAATTAATTAAATACAATATATTTTAATAATGTTTAATTGAAATTATTCTTCATAGTAATGCCTCATTAAAATCAAAATCTGCAATCTGATCAAATAGGATATAAATTAAGAAAATAGACTTGAAACAATCAAGAAATCATTATGATTAATATTTATTTAAGAAATAATTCCATATACTAAAATTGTCTAGAAAACTATCATTTAATTTTTATTCATAAGAGAGTTATTTAAACTTAAATTGATCAAATCGATATTTTTGATTTAAATAATTCAAACAAAATATAGCAAATCCTTAAATGTTAAAAATTAATGCTTTCTTCTTAGAAATAATAATATGCGATTAATGAAAGAATTCAGCAGATTAAAAACAAAGTTTGGTATGCTTATGATATATTCAAAAAGAGTATTTCAAAATAAAATAAATGGCGAATAAAATATTTCCATTTTGTTTTTATGATTTAAAATAAGAACAATTTTTACAATATTAATCAAAATTATAATCATTTTAGTTGTTACTCTTCCTCTTTATTCCTAAAATATTAGACAACATTTGTTAAATTAAAGGTGTTTTTTAATTGTTTCTGTTACTATGCTTATTTTATGACCTACAAAAATGTCATTCCAGTCGATTTTTTACTTGGTTATGCCTTAATAAAATAAAAAACATAAAATTATACAATTGTAATTAAAGGTTGGACAACTATAGTTTTTAATTGCTCCTCTAATAGTTTTTCCTCTTATTAAGGTGTTATTTTATCAGTATTTTCTTCATCATCTGGATTTGGTTGTTTAAGTACTTGACCGTAAGTCTTTTACATGCACTTATCAAAATCAGAAAGATCATCAGATTCACGAAATTATGCTTTAATAATTTCACCTAATCTAATATAAATGAGAAAGGTAAGTGCATCTAATTTCTTAAACAAAGGTTGTAATCTTCTATCATCAATAGTCATTTATTCATTAGTTCTTATGAGGGATAATTTTTCAGCACATCTAGCCAAAGCTTCTAAGAATTCATAAAACTCCATTTAGAAATGTTTTAGCAAGTAAAGTTCATCAACAGAGGTCTGCATAGCAAGCAAATAAGCAAGATAAGCATCCCTTTCAACAAAAATATCACAATATAAATCGCATTTATTTAATAAATCTCTAAAATCTTTAAATTAAAGCCATATATGTTTGTAATACTTTTATTTGGCATTTAATTTAGATGTAAATTTGAAAAGCATTTTTAACATAGGTAATCTCTCCTCTAATAGAAAATTTAATTATATGAATTACTTAATAAAATGTCACATTATTCATTCCAATATCTCATATCTCTCCAATCTTAACTTCGATCAATTTCTTAAAGTTTTAATTTAATTCCATCTTCTTCAAACATTTTCCTCAAACTCTCTTTGATTGACTTGCAAATTTAGGTTCTTAGATATTTATCAATAGCAATTCTAACTAGTACTTCCATTAATTGATATCTTACTAATGCTTTTTCATAAACATTGGGATAATTGATATCTTTTACATTTGATGTTGCAATAAAATTTAAATCAATATCTCCAGATCTAAATTTTTCAGAAATGACTCCTGTAGCTGATAAAAAGTCAGAGAAGGCATTTGATGAAATACAAGGAATTGTCGCACCAATAAGGGTAGATGCTAAAAATTTATATGCTGCAAAAATGAAAGGATAATATTCTCTCATAATTTCTTTAACTTCATTATATTCAATTGGGTCTTTAATAATTTTATTAATTTTTGAACTTCCATAATCATATTCAAAACATTCATCAATTAACTCATCATTATCTGGTTAATAGTTTTTGAAAATTGAAATCTCATAACTCCAAAATTTTTCAGTTTTCGTAAGAAATTATGTTAAATCAAAAGTTTTTTCTTCTTCTCTTGGTTTACTAAATATTTTTGCAAAATATCTATCCATAATTGACTATTTATCTTCAGTAAACAGTTCGTTAACAAATCCCATTTTGTTTCCTTCAATGAGAATATCACCATTATATAAAAATGATTGTTTTGTTGAATATAAAGGATCTTCTTGAGGAGTCTATGTGATTAACTAATTTTTCGCTGTTGTTTATATTCCAAGTACAGGATTACTAAAAAAATACGTTACCCTGAAATTTGGAGGACACATTCTATATGCAGAATATTCTCCATTATGAAGTGTCATTAAAACAGGTTTGTAATTCTCAAAATTCAAATGAACAAATATGGGATCATTATTCATTCCACCAGATTTGCCTGGTGTCCAAGTAAATTTTACTTCTTACCAACCATCACATATCCAACAAGCATCCAATTCAGAGTCAGTGTCATAATTTTGTTTAATTGGTTTCATACCTTATATTCTTCGAAATCTAAAATTTCTATACAATTCTGAATCAGTTTATAAATCTTTTATTCTTTTATACTATTATTTTTAATGTTTTTATTATTCTTATATTTCTAATTCAGGATTTTAATTGTCATCTACTAATTTTAGAGTAGTTTATGGGTTCTTTTTGCATTCATCAATTTTTTTTTGAATATCTATAGCTTCTTGAATTCTATCTCTTAAATGTCCAGTAGAGTCCACTGAATATTTTGGGCAATTTCCTTAATAATGAAATCCATATATATTCTGATTTTAATCTAAAGCTTTTTTTATTTCAATAGACTGTTCTTCATTAAATCCATTATATGAAATATCAATATGCATTAATTCTGGATACTATTTAATAATTACTTTGGCCATTTGTTAAGAACATT